CTGTCCAAACTTTCCTTGTGGAATTAACTCCGAGCACAGACTCTCTAGCAGTGTGGAGCCCAATCCATTTCACTGGGGATCAGCCTGTTTGGGTGCCGCAGCCTGCACAGCATGCAGGTCTATGGCACAACGTCGCCTTTTTATAGAAATACAAAACTGAACTTTTGAAAAGTGGGCAAAAGTCAGCTGCTAAGGAAAGCTAATAAAACTCACCCCTGGAATCTGATGGATAAAGTCCTGGTTTCACTGATAGCAGCAGAGGCTCTGGAGCAAGGGCTGAATCTGACAGTTCTGCACAAGTGTGTACAGGGGGTTTCGTTGTGCCTTTCCTGCTCTACAGAAAAGGCCTCTGTATCAGCTATGCATTGAGTTGCTTGGATCAGTGCTTTTAAACAGATCTAACAGTCCAGAATAACTTTACCTAAATTTACAGTAGCCCTGCGGAAGGATTATTGATGCTATTCTATTACTCCACACAAAGCAGCCTTCCCAAGGGGAACATTTAGTATCATACTTCTTGTCTTGATATTAAATCAGACTACGGCGAGGACTCAAAAGCAGCAGGTAACCAGCTTTCCCTGCTTTTCTCTGAGCCCTGCAGAATCACATTTCTTATTTGTTTGCAAGTGCAAGTCCCTTGTACTTATCTCCCAAAGAGCCCCCAGCCCCAAGGAACACAGCATGTTTAACACGTGCTTTGGCTTTGGCTATGGCTATGGTTAAATTGAGAGGCTCGCCAGACGACAGCCAACTCCTTGCCAGGGCAAGCTCTGTCAGGCAAAACATTCACATTTTGGTACCACAAATAGATGCTCTCGGGGAGGCAACACTGCTTTATTTTCCACTAGTCGGAAAGACGCACGTTGGAACAGCCCAGTGCAGCCCAGGGAAAACTGAAGCTGCATCAAGGGGGAGCCAGGTTCAAAGGCCTCAAGAAGGTAAAGCAGCAAGACAGCCACTTTCTGAACCTCTGTGCAATGTGAAGGGCTGCGTTTCTGTGCTGACAAGTGCAAAGCTTACTGCTTTACCTGATCTGGGAAGACTGCCACTCTCTCCCCTCCGCACTCAGGCATCCCATGCATTAACTCAACCCTCCACAGTCGCCAGCATATCATCTATGTTACACATAACATAGACAGTTCTCCTTGATGGCACTAAGAAATAATATCTGTCTTTGAATACCGTTTAGAGTTAAAAGCCTAAAATTGGTCCCCAGCACCTCCAAAATGGCTTCCAAAATATCTTCCCCTAAGATTAAATTTGTATTTCTGCAGCCAGCCTGAGTCCACTTCGTTTAGCTACATTAATTTTTGCACTTCTTTTTATACTACTGAAATATATATTCAAGGCTAAGCTCTTCCTTGAATAGAGTTTTTCTTGATTACCGTCAACACTCTACTCCATTGTGTCATCTTGTTTGTCTTTTGATGTTATAATTTCCTTATTTTACAATGTTTTAATTACATTGACTGCAACTGTTTAAAGAATAACTAGTGATTTTGGAGGTCAACTAGAGAGACTTTGAAAGGATTTGATTAGGCAATTCATTTCTTCTAGCGCTACAATAACTTTTATTATTTGATTATGCAAATAAGTGTTGGTGCACTTTGGCAAAATACTGCAAAGTTTAGTCTACTAAGAAGTCTGCTAAACAAAAAGCTATCGTTGGCAGAAATACATGAGCTAAGAAATGCACCCCATGCAACCACTAAGGTGCTTCCTGTGAGACACCCTAGGATAACATCACTCAGGAAAACTAGGGCCGTGATCACCTGGGAAAATTTGCTACCACCTGCTGTGAAAGCTTCAGTCACACCGACTCTATTGGAATTACACTGGAAACTAGAGAGGGCTGTGAGCCACAGAAACAACAGAAGGGATCTCCAGGGATCTCCAGAAGGGATCTCTCCTGGTAAAAGATATATAGCTTGGGAAGGGAGATTCTTCTCTTCTGGTTGGGAAGAACAAGACAGGCTAACAAGGAGGAGAGCTGTTTGACCAACAGCCTGAGCAGGGGCTCCAGATCCGACAGGAGACATTTGAGCTAGTACAGACATCTCTAATAATTCACGGAAAGCTTTTTAGGATTGCAGACACCATATAGGATAACTGGGTCAAATGGGAGGTTTTAGAAGATAATCTCTTTTGTGTGCTGATAACCTGTTGCAAGAAGACATTATGCGATGATGCTAGCATGTAGCCAAATCTGAGACAGAGCAAAGACCGTGGAGATGGGACCCTTGCAACACCCCGGCTCTATCCAGAAGGAGATACTTAGGCCACAGGAGGGATTTACTGGGACTTGCTTTCCCCAATATTGTCTTTATCATTGTTATTTTTATGCCTACAATGTTTAATTACTGATGAATATTTATCCCTTTTTTTTTTTGTAAGTAAATAAGACATGAATGAAGTATGGCAAACATCTTAATTACTTAATAATGTTCTAATCAAAAGCTTGAACCACTCTGTCTGGAAATGCAAGTTGTTCTTCCAGTTTAACAGCTGTTTGTTTTTCCTCTAGTACTTGGTAAGGAAAATACAAGCAAGACACTGTGACATAACCTGAAATATGGATTGTTCACACACCAACAGAGGTTTCCTACAAACCTCAGAACGCGAAATGGCTGAAGATCAGACCCTTTATGGAAACACTGGCTCATGAGTATTGACAGTTATTTCTGAATCTACTTCCCAGTATGAACACAAAGCAAAGCTGAGAAATGTTCTGCTTTCTAACTAAAAAAGTGAAGGGATTCTGCAAAGATTTATTTAAAAAAATCTCTTGTTGCTCTCGCTGCTCTCACTGCTATTCATTTAAATTACAAGGGCAATGCTGCCGGTATGTTAGTGTGGGCTATTTCAGTACTGCAATTCTCAAGAAATAAGTAAAATAAAATTTCCCACATTAATTACCAATGCTCCTACATCAAGCAACATGTCCTCAATTTATTACAAATAGTTATAATGCAGACTTATGCCATTGTTCATATAAAACCTGTAGGAATTACTCGCTTCTTCCTCTGTAAATGTCTTAAAAGAGATGTTCACGTAAGAGATGGATACAAGAAATATGAACAATAACGAGTAAACTGGCAATTCAGTAATAGTCACACAAAGCCATATTATTTAAAAATATGTTTACTTTTAAAGAACCCAAATGATAATAACCAATTCATATTTAAATCATTATCCAAACTCCCTTACAATGTCTGCTAAAACACCAGCAATCTGAATCTAGAGACATTACATGTACATTAATAAAACCAGAAAACTTTTGCAACTGCTACCAGCTAAAATCCTGCCCTAACTAAATTATATGTTTGTCAATGACTGCAGTGGAGCTTGGATTTCTTTCAGTAGCTTCTAAACATTATGCCTACTATGATCCTTCCTCAACAGAAATGTAATATTCAGACTTATTTATACCCTCTACTAAAGGGTTGGTTTGCTTTTTAAATAACAGATAGGACTTCTTTGTATCATATGTTTTCATTATTTTTATGAGATGACTACAAAGAAAGAGAACAGAAGCACCAATGGAAGACTTCCAGCAATGGCAATTGTACTGTAAATACTTACTAATTGCTATCCAAGCCCCCACCTACCTGACGAAATTGACTTCTGTAATATGTACTATAGCACAACAGGCTCACACACACAATTAAAAGTTCATTATTTTCTGAAAAATTCTTCCATGAAGCAGTATTTTTCTTTCAAATTTTAGCAGTCTTCATAAGGCACAAGAAAGCTGGTATATAAACTTGGAATCTAAGAAGCTTTTAGCAATATTAACTTTCCCAGTGCACTGAAGAATGCCATTTCATCCAGTCTGTACAGAACCGATGATCTGCCTGGTTAGGCCCCATGACCACAGCACAAATGTGATTACAGGTCTCTGGTCGTTGTGAGCTCTCAAGTAAAGCACAACTACATTTCCCAAGCCTTAAAAAAACTCCGCTGTGAAATAAACTTCATCTGCAAGGTTAGATCTCATTAACTACATCACAGATCTAGACAGGTATGAATCTCTTGTCAAATCACTTGTCAAATGAACAAGTGCTTCTTAGAGAGCGAGGCCAAACAGCGTCTCAGCTTTTAAATTAATATTGTATGGGCAATATGTTCCTCTGAACCTGATTTTCTAGAAAAAATATACATAGAAATATATAAAAAAATGCTATCTATGACTTCTAGGAAATCTGATAAAACATGAAATTTCAAAAAAAGCTTTCTGTATTTTAGATGACTTTACCATAGAGATTTGAGATTTTTCCTTTCCTGTCACATTCACAATTTTATCTAATTTCTGGATTGTTAGTAGTGTAATAAACACTAGTGTAATACTAGTGTATTTATTACTATAGATATAATATAACATAGTGTATTATTATACACTAACAAAGTGTTTCTTATATAATTTCAAGTGTCTCAAGATTTAGGATTCACAAATGAAATCCAGGAACTGAGCATTTCCAAAACAACAGACATATCCAATCAAGATTCTTGGATCTGTAAGACCAAGATCTATAAATATATTGCTATCTGAACCAGATTTATGTTGATCAGAATTCAGGAAAGTGTCTTAATTCATTCACTTGTAGCTTTCATAAATACATTTTCTTAAAATGTTCTTCTTGTCTAAATAAAGTTAGATATTCCTGGTCTACAGAAAGTTAGATATCTATAAATCACGAATTTCCCACTCCTATATATTTTTTCATAAGCTTCTATTTATTATGTCATTAATTCACTAAATCCAAAGAGATGACTACAAAATATAAGCAAACTATAAGCAAATAGAAAATTTGAGTCCTAGGCAAAGTCAAAAATAAAGAGTAAAATTTATAAAATTACAGCACTTAGTCAGTCATATGTTTTCAACCATAATCAGCCACAGAAGGTTTAAAGGACACCGAAAAAACACAGTATTTTAAAATGACCAAGTTACTCATGGGCACAAACCCATATGTGCTCTTGCTGCAAATGAAAGGACATACCTGCAGAGACACGGGGGCAGTCTGGCAACATGGACTCTACTGATGTATCCAGCGGTTCTGAACTAGACACCCAGTTACAACAGTTCTGTAACAGCAGACAGGCAAGTTTTTGGTAAGCCAATAACTTAAAGCAAAAATAAATAGCAGTCTTTGAAAGTAAAAGCAATGATCACATCAAAATACTCAAACTCACCCTCATTTAAATTGCAGTCCCAATGCAATTTACTGAAATTTAGGATTTTTCTGAAAATGAAAATTTCAGAATGAATTGGCTTATTGATGCTACCTGATGCTTAAATACTGTAGTTTCATATGAAATAGGCAAAATAGTAAAACTGCAATTCAGGAATGAAACAGCAATGTGCTTAAATAGCATGTGTGTAAATGCTGCTTTGAGCATGAATGAACTTAAGCAGGTGACTGGACCAACAGGGGCACTTCAAGCTACTGGTCTCCGTATTTGTTAAATAACTACTTTTACAAATACTCAGCCTGATTGCCTGAAAAAATTAAGAGGTCATAATTTTCAACATGTTTTGAAGGAATATGCTGCAGAGAGAATGGCTGTAAAATTACTAAACAAGAAATTATAAATGAGTGAAATCAAACAAAACAGCAGATTAATATCCAAATAACTGCCAATATGGCTAAGATTAATTGGTATGGAGATTTAAAAATGTAAACATTGATCTTTGAGGAACTATGCTCTGAGAGCATTTACATTTACCTTTTGTTCTCAGATCTCTGAGTTGGATGACGTTTTTAAATATTTTACTCTAAATGGAATCTATTCAGAGAAGACCATGAATTAAAGTATTAAATAATACACCTTTAATAAGGTATGCTGAAACTATTCCAAACCTATTGAACTGAAGATTTAATTATAAAGCAAATACATTTTTAATAGGATTGTCACCTGAACTCCAAGATCTACATGTCTTTACTTATTACAAATCTCAGTTTTCCCTTACGGGAAGCCCGATTCACTTCATTAAAGAAAAAAAGAAAATGGTACAACTTTTTTTTTTTTTTTTTTGGAATGAATTTTCAGACAGATTTCTTAAAAATCATCCCATCAATCATGATTGTAAAAATAGCCTATTGCTATTCTGGTAAACAAGCATGTATTGTGTATTTGTAGATGCTTGCCGCCCTAGTTGTGCACCATGGAATCCGTCCTCACTGTGGAAAGATCCTTGACTGGTAGATCAAGTGTCTTATTGTATTTCCTTAATTCATTCTGTCTGGAAGAAGATGTCAGCTGTGTTGCAGTGAGGAGAGAATTTCAAAGGCTTCAGTCCCCACCAATAAAGGCCGAGGAATGGCTTTTGAATAGATTTGTCAAGGCAACCCTACTGTTCTGGGACCAGGGAGAGCAGGAACAACATAAAGGAAGGGTTGCTGTCTGAGATTAGAAAGTGAAGTTCACAAAGCATGGCAGATTTTTGTAAGAAACAGCAGATCAATGAAACTATTGAACTAGATGGAGGAAAAAAAACACATGAAAACAAACACCCTATCTATCCAGTAATGCAACTTTTTAGCAAAAATGGCAAAAATCGTTGTACTTCTGTTTCACAAAGGCTTTAAGGTTTAAAGTAGATACACATTTTATAATTTGCATGTATAATTTTAATTAACAGCTGAATGTGAAATTGCAAATGTAAGATGGTAGAAATTATAAAAGTAGAATTTTTATGAAGTATTACATTCATTTGAAATAAGTAAAATTAATATTAACTACTGATAGAATACTACATCAGAGAGCTGGAGATAATACAGAAGATTAGCAGACAATTAACCAGCTTTTATATACAATGTGACACTTGCCTGTAAGAAATAAGTATTCTCGAAAGCAGTGTCAAGATATGTAAATGGATGATTTGTTTTATCATTCATCGCAGCTCCTAATAAATTCAAAAATCATGACTTCTATAGATACTAAAAATAGGCCACCAATGATACAGGAGAGAGAGCTTCAATGAAGAATTACTTTTTTAACAATTCATTCTTTCAATGACAGCAATTAGCCCTACAGACAGGCAGCGATGAGGTGTATATTTTAATTATTATTCATTTTACCAGTAGCCTTAAACCTGATTAAAGTAGGAGATATCCAGGTGATATGCTAGTCTTAATACCACTCAGCCACACTTCACATACGTAAAATTCTTCTTTCTTATAGGATATTTTCAATGCTAATGTAAGTTATGACACTCCATCCACTTTTTAGGCCATTAATCATTTAACTTATTCTTTAACATCTACTTTCTGCAAATGAAATTAAAGGTAATGCACTTGTCTTATTCAGAGCAAATGCTTAAAGAAAAATGGAGTTGTCAGATTCAAATTACAGGATTTAAAATTTTTAGTTTTACTATATAACATATATTTTAAGGTTTTGATTTCCCGTAAAGAAAATGGGGATTTTTCTGACAGAGCCTGTAGGGGTTACCATTCTTTATATTTTTAACATTTAAGTCAGAGCTGTCAGATTGCATCCCAGGTGATTCTCTATTCCCATCAGTCATGGCCTATAAAACTGTAAGGTTAAGTCAGGAACAGACTGTCTGTACACTACGTTTCACCAAATCCACAGGAAAAAAGTCATATATAAGGGAAAGTCCAGGATAAACAATTTTATATAGAAACCTATCATTTTAACACTGTGAAATGGGAATCCAGAACACTCATCTATGAGCTTCATTTGATCTGGAAAAGGGATTCATAAACCAGAGTATGGCTGGTCTCACTTTACAAAATCTGTTTTTTAATCTCATCGATCCCCTACTTAAGCATTAAAATGAATAATGAATGCATTCCATCATCCTTCAGCCAAGAGTGGCTGTGTGCGCTTGCTGGCCATATCAATTGATAATCAGATAATCTTGGACCAACTAGTCATTACTCTTGGACAGTGGTAAAAAAGAATATGCTGCCTTTCCATCAGAAAAATCTCAGAGCACTTTAGAAGCTATTGCATCTCATAAAGCTGCTGGGAGAAAAAATACTTTGCCATGAGTACAAATCAGCAAGCTGAGCCATGAGGAGCTGCAAGGGTCTTTTCTGCCATCACCACTAAGATGGGAGCAGCACTGAGGAGCACAGAGAACCCCTAGGATGTTGCTCCATTACCAGCTTGTGCTATTATGGCACATATTTCTATGTTGCTGTACAGGCAAAAGAAGATCTGGAAAAAGATTCTTCTTGTTTTTGACTGGTAATTTTGAAGTTCAAAAATATTTCATCTCTATTTTAGGGGCAAGATTAAACACAGAATTTCTACCTTTCTGTAACTGTACTCTCATATCCTAAAAGAATAGAAGAGGTATTTCTAGAGTCTTATACAGACACATCCACCTCTAGTCTTCAGAAAGAAAACAAGTCTTACCTCTCGCATCCATTCTCGAATAGTTTTGCCAGCTTCTTGATGCCACACATTGTGAACAGAGTCTGTCAACGCCACAGCAGTTACCTTATTCTTTACTTCTGCCTCTCGTTGAATCATCTGTTAAAAAATACCGGCTTTAAGTTCTTTCTTTCTACTGAATAGCGTCTGCTTAGTCACAGATAATGATCCTAAATTAAAAAAGAGAGAGTAACACAAGTTCAATACTTGACTTCACTTGTTTTAAAGTTTATACAAATCCTAACAGCTCTAGAAATACAGAAGGGCCTAATATTTTTGATAAAAGAAATAATACCAACTTTTAACTGACTGAACTATTCAGTCCTATTATTTTCCATGTGGCTTGACAATTCTAGGATTAAAGGCATCATAGTGAAAAAATGGAAGATTCCCTGAGGACACCTTTTACAAGTTTCTCCAAGTTCCTATTTCTGTGCTTCAGGGAAGCTGGTACCCGTGGTTCACTGTAAGCTACTCACGACTATCATCTACTAATTTTCAGTAGATTGCTGTAGTTTTTCTGATGTACAATCTTTGACTTGTATTTTTTTTCTTTTTCTATCCAATTTAGCTACCTTGTGCTCCCACCATGGTCCCAAAATTCTTTGTGGTCTCTTTCATAGACAAGCTTACCCAGCTAACACCAGAGCCTCTCAACATTTCTAGGATATTAAAGAGCCTCTGTTGTTAAAAAGGACAGTATGACTAAATAATATTAGTACTAAAACCAATTAAACGATTGTTGCAAATAACACGAACGAACTGACAAAGATGCTGTAGCTCTATTTCACAGCGCTGTTCTGAAAGATGAAAGGGACTGAGAAAGAATAGTTTGATATCAAAGAGAAACAAAAAGGTTTTAATCTCCTGACACAAGTGACCCTAATTTGTAACACTGGATCAAAGAAAGTATAATGAATTACACTTATAAAAACAGCATTTTGAAACTTGTGTCTCTATCACTATGTTTGTTGCACTAAAATTAATGGTTTTCCTTTTACATAAAATGGCAACACATACCATTTTTTAAACTAGATATTTTTGTTGATGCTGTAGTAACTGCTTTTCAGCATATAGACTGCATCCGTGAAAATGCTGCTATAAAAAAGACTTTTACAATGGAGATGTGAAAAGTATTTTTTTGCAGCAGCAACTGAAAGGAACACTTCGATGGAGATTCTTGATGCAAAATTAGCATTTACTAATTACCATTTGCAATCTTGATTTCTTTAAAATATCACACACATAAATCTTTTTCAGTAAATCCTATTACTTCAAATTCTGTGCAACTACAACCTAAACATTATTACGATGTTCTGAACTATTGTGCCTTGCCTTTTGTTTCCATTATGTAGATTTTAAAATCAGTGTAATGCAATCTTTTAAAGGAAAAAACATACATCATTATTGGCCAGGTAATATTTAGGTAGAAGTTCTCATGCTAGATAAAATTTGGGGTTTGTCTACCCCAGCATCTTATCTTTGGGGTGGTCAGTTCCAGGTGAGTAAGAAACTGTTGGAAGTTTCAGTCTTCCTTCATTCGGAAGCCTTTCCACAGATTTAGTTTTTTTAAAATTAGGTACCCTCCTGTGGGACACATTTAATTTCTAAGACTTTTGGAGGACAGGACAAAACAGATCACAAGTTTAGGACAAAATAGCATACATTGTAAAAGAATGAGCTTCACTGAGCGATAACACAATGCTGGCGTTTTCAGTTTGAAGTCTAGGTTTCACTTTATATAAAGATGTACAAACCAGATTTTTTCCTTTAACTGTTAAAAAACTTGTCTGTCCCCTTCCCCCCCTTTTTTTTTTAAACCAAGAAGGAAGAAATACAGAAATATTCAACTGAAGAGATGAAAATTCAGTGGAATGCAAACTTCCACAACTCCAGTACGAAATCTTCTATTTAAGCACGAAGCCTTACACAAGAAGAACCAATCTCTCACTGTGATCTTCAGGCAACTGAAAGAATAGTCAGTGACTCTGTTTAGCGGAGGACAAAATCCCAGAGCTCTAGAGAAAGGTGTAGCCTGAAAACAAAGATTCTTATCAACATTATAATCCCCCTCCCCAAAGCTATGAAAACATGGCTCAAGCACTCCTAAGCGTTCCTTTGCATCTCAGAGGGCTGGTTTACTCAAGCCTTCAACTAGTCTCTTTCGTAGGCTCATTACTAATATGTCATCTACAATGACGTCCCTGTGATTACATCAGGCTCCAAATGTAGGTCCAATTCTGCAAAATACATGAAAATATTGATTTTTTAAAATGCATTATTGAAAATAATGATCACCAGGCTGCTCTCAATAAAACAGTTTGTGCACACTAAGCTAGGGAGCTAATTTACAGACCTCCAGCTACTTAGCATTATGTAGAAAGTGTCCTATGCAGGCACACAGCACACTAGAAACATCCTTCTCCTGTGTAGCTTTCTGCCACCTGAAAGTGGAGCAAATAACATTTCACAGCACAAACTTAAACTCACCAGCCACCACTTCCCATGACTTAACCAGAATAATCAGTATCATTGTATAAATGTGGGGGATCATGTAGATGCGTATATTGAGTATGTTTAATAAAGACACTCTCCATATTTGTGTTAATGTATTAGCACTGTATATTTTTGCACTTACTGGTTGCACCAACTTGCACAGAATACTGTACTTTAAATCGGCAACCCAGACCATATCGTTGTCCTTGAAGTACATACACATATGAATTACTAGGAACTGTTATTGACAGAAACTTGATATCATCCCCAGCTCATTCTGTCCCAGTATGACTCCCTGAAATCTTCTGAAGGGTTGTTCAGTGAGGAAAAAATGTTCATTCTGCACTAGAAGTATTTTCTTTTCTCAAGCTATTTTGTCTCATATTGCTGTATCAAAAATTAGCTATCCTGATCACCTGAGAACATCATCATTTTCTTCAGACGACAAACACAGATGTGTGCCATCACTCAAATCCATCATTCTCAACTTCCCCATTCGGATGTAAGAATCAGGAGGCATTGATCACCATCTCTTCCTAATCTTTCTTCACAGGGCACACACAGCCTTTGCTTTTCGGATCACAAGTAAGATGGGGAAGAAGGTAGTGCTGATAGTTTTGATCTTGATCAAACTGATGAGATGAACATCTGCCTGCAACCCATGGTTTAAACGGCCCACAAAGATGATGCTTTTTATAGCCATCATGACAGTTATACAGTGAAGAAATAGGCCCTACTTGACTCTGTCAGTGTAAGGCGTAAGTAGCAGTAAATCACATATAGCATGGACTGAAGAGCCAGAATGGGAAAAGCTGAACAGGAAAATACAGCCACGGAATCAGCTTCAGACACTATTAGTACAGGGAAAAAAAATCCCAGCACATGATTGCCAGTGGAGAGATGATCAGCAGACACAACACGTACCGCAGGAATGCTCTACAGTAGGGATCAGGAGCTGGGGGGACCCAAGCGAGAAACCAATAGTCTGTTTTTCTAATGCGTTTGAGACACACCTAATAACCAGTGGTGCCTTTGGGTTCAATGTTACAACTTTGAGGGCTCGTGCCTTGTATTATCTTGCAGAATGCAAGAGATCAGTAGATAGATTAGCCAATCTCTATTGAGATAGTAGAGAGATTGGGGCTGACAATGTGAGTTTTTAGGTACCTCAGACACACCACTGACTACAGTCAGGGCAGGGGCTTGCCGATGCACCACTGGGGTAATGAGGGACTAAATGGATCAAATGAACTTCAGTTACATAATTCTTTATGACTAAGCCAAAAAAAATATTGGTAGGCATCCCTTCTTTTATGAGCTTACTTTGGAAAAATAAACAAAACCAGTACATTGAATGGAGCAATAATCAACAATACAATCTTCATTTTAAAAAAGAATTAAGTGACTACGTCCAACTTTGAGTGACACCAAAATGTCCCAACATTGGCAAGGCATGACAAACCCAGAAGACATCTACTGTAACAGCTCCAGTTCTCTGTTGATAACAACATAGAACTACAGATCCAGGTGATGCTTAAACACCATATCTTCATATAAGGGATCATACTACATCCTTTGGGAAGATACAACCAGATTATATATTTTTGCCACAAAAACTTCAACAGTTAGTAAATGCTCCAAAATCAACGAATATATAGCTCACGATTAAAACAAACGTACTTACCTTATCTAAAAAAAAAGAGATCTGAGTGCATGCCCATGTTAGAAATTAAGAGAGCAGAATAAAATTGCAACTATAAATTAATGCTCAACACAAGTTTAATACTCAGATGCTGTTTAAGTTTGATGTAACTGTATGATTTCAAAGGACGCACATTCTAGCTTCTCTGTGAGGTTTTCCATATTCTCATTCACTAAGTAGCAGAGCACTGAAGGACCCAGATTGCAGTCTGGATCCTCCAGACTTTTCCAATCATCTTTTCTATTGTGAAATTTCAATTTTAACTGGAATGTAGGGCTTGAGGTCCCTTCTCTGCTGGGAAACTCTGACAACAGGAAAGGTATCCCTAGGCTGATCAGATAAATTTTATCTTGATGTTGGTGGTGGGACTGTCCAGCTTCCACTTCCACCTTCTACTTTTGCACACACACTTCTTAGACCTTGGCCTAAGTCCTATTCCTTGGACTGTGCTGTGATTAAGGCAGGCTTCCCCAACCTTCAGGCATCCCTTCTGGCCTTAATTTGTAGGAGATCTTTAAGAAGGAAGAAACAATGTTATCCTCTTTCACAGAATTCCATGACTTGAAAAAAACTTAAGGAAGTAACAGTAAAATTTATTTTTTTTTGTAATACATTTACCATCTCACTGTTGCTTCCTATTTAATTCCCTTATACTGGTAAGTCCTAGATCAGTGTTCACGACGACAAGTTAGAAAACATTCAGGCATCTTTTTGAAAGTCATCTCTATCCAGATGGTTGAAAATTTGTTCCTTCACTTTGCCAGGGAAAACGTCAATGATCTATTCACACAAGTGGTAGACTATCACTTACATAAGCAAGAAGTTGAAATCCCTTAAAACGCATCCATTAAATTCAAATATGTTAATTACCTATTTATTGGTCAATTTAATGACAAGTGAT